ATTTAATTTTAATTAGATTGCTCAAATCAAAATTTGAATTTTCCATATTATCGATGTCTTCTACAGATGTGTTTAAGAATCTATAATTATAATAAATTGGTTATTTTGTTCTGCATACCACAATTGAAGGAATCTAGTTATGGTCTAGGTAAATTTGTTATAATGTCAGTTTGAAACTCATCTAAACCTTTTTAAATGTCTTGAATCCTAAAAATATGGTTTTATTGGGTTCCATTTTCTATATTAAATTAATATAAAATAATCTCTTTTTATTCCTATTGTAATAAAAGCAAATCAATTTCTATTTTAATATTTCTAATACATTTATGCTTGATGAGATTTCATCACAACAAAACAGAAAAACAAACTTCATTCTTGATCATCTATTTGCTTTCACTGTCTAAAATCCTTTTTAAACATGTTTATTTTTTATGTAAATTAAGGTGAGGAAAAGCTGATAAATGTAATAAAAATTCACCCTACACCTAAAATATACCCGGTAGGTCTCTTTACACTCGTCTGAACCTTAGATATAATTTTATCTCAAGTTGTTAATGGACCCTTCACAAAGTAATATAACCAATGCAGTTTGAGTGTTTAATCAAATTTCTTTTTAGTTCCTGATTAATTCAATTTTAACAACCTAAAAGAATGAAATTTCAATAATGCATATAAAACATTTGATTAAATATCTGCAAGATCCTGTCTGCAAGTCGTCCCCTGTTTAGATTTACCATTAAAGTCACCTTTATAAAATTTGAAGAAAACAATTAGGACAAAGTTTTAAGGAAACATTTTAACTAATTTTACAATTCAAGAATATATATTCATTTTTAAGAAACTGTAAAATTATTATTTGTAATATTTCCTTCTAGAGGAAGTCCTGGATTAAAACTTTATTATGACTTAATAAAATGTGCTTAAACTGCATTGACAGTTATAATTTCCCATGCTTATCAATGAATGGAGTGCTAAATAAAAGATCCTCAATTAGCAAAAATTGTAAAATTAGTAAGTATAATAGGCACAATATAGCTCCAAAAGGTTTCAGTAATCAATTGTTTATCACTTTACAATAAATATCTAACCTGATTTTCAGACTTGTAATAAGTTGGATAATTGTTGATACACTTATCCTTTTAGAGAAAAAATGAAGGAAAACACATCTTTGTCCAAAGAGGAAGATTCATAATCACAATTCAAAGTCTTTGTTTAGTTTAATGGGTCTGACTTCTAATTGAACCGTTCCTTATTTTGTCAGTTAGAATTTTACTGTCAGGAATCGAGGGAGTATACCTCAATAACACAGCAATCAAACAATGTGAACAAATCAAACAAAACAGTAGGCAAGGTTCGGGGGACTTTCTAGAAATTTAGGCCACTTTGTAGCATCTCCCACCAATTACAGGTGGAAAATGACAAAATACAATGTAGTGATAATGTCATGCTCTAACCAGTCCAAAATGTCATTTTGCACCAAGATCAATAATGTATTATTTTATTGAGGACTTATTATAGAAGATGTCAATCATTACATCATCCTCTATGAATTTTGTATTATCATCCTATAATTCTGATAAATATATCAGTTATCAAATCAGCCAAAAATATTATTGTCCTTGTCAATGAAAAATGAAAAGTCATCTTGAATAAGATATTCAAATGAAAGGTCAATATTTAGGAATTTGCAATAAAATTGTCCATACCTGATCAGGATGTATGGGACAAGCCCATCGACAGAATGCATTTATATCCATAACATCTAAACTCAAAGGACACTCCAATTCACAATTATCATACATTCAAGTTGACCGTAAAACAAATCTTCAAATCTTCCCTAATGCGTAAAAATATTTCGGGATCCAGACAACGCACTAATTTCGTGTTCATTTTTATGTATATACAATGTACCTTATAAAAATGAAGATGTGTAACAGTCCTAATTAATCTGTGTTAAAGTCCATCTGGCTATCTCTAAGGATTTTTTTCTAGCTTGAAAAGGGTTAAATGTAAACAATTAAATTACGCATTTCAATGAATCATGTGTTTTAAATTTCTTTTTCTGAGAAAAAGCTTGGATTGTATCGCATTCTGGTTTAAAATTTAACACTTGTTTAATGCAAATTAAATCTAAATTCCTTTATATGCATGCATCCTACATGTATTTTATGTTAAGTTCTGCACTCATTAAAGTTGCTTACTTTTGGATCAAATAATATTTGATCAGGTATTATCAACTTAAGTGTAAAATTTATAAGATTTTACTTCGTTATGCAATTTTGGCAATATACAACTTACATGGTGTACTATTTGAAGAGTCTTTCAAATGTGGCTGCTTAAATCAAATGTATCCCTTAGCTTATTTCTTATCCTAATTTTATCACCAACAGTTATTTGCTAAGAAAATGTGGAAAACACTTTGATTTGTTACTTCATCAATACAAACAAAGAGATTGGTAGCAAATTGTTATTAGCAATGAAATTTGTTTTTAAACAAGAGATAAATCAAATTGGATGGTCACAGTGACATACTTCAAAATGAAAACAAAGCTGAGAACCAACTAATAGTAATGCACACCTGGTAACAGTGACCTACATTATACTTACCAGTATCACTTATTCTTATTTTATGTGGATGCTATCAAATAATTTCATTGATGGTAATGTTTGCAAATATTTCCTCAAACCACAGCAAGAGGTGCAAAATGCCTGATACTACAAAATGTATTTCAAAAAGGTGTCAGAACCGTTTTTTTTATATATTTTTTTTTATATCGATTATTTTTCAAAAGATGTGTCTATTTCAGGAAGTGAGTAACAGTCGTATGATTTTTTATTTTTATTGTAACAGGGAAGTACATACAAGTGTAAATATTCTTACAAACAATTAGTGAACTCAGGTCCAATTCTTTTCTTGGAATCATTCCACCACATTCCTTATATGCAAAGTATATAGGTTATTGGAATTTCGAAGTGTGTCAACCTTTTCCATCAAGTAAAGACTGTTTGAAAACACAACATTTTTAAAAATATATACAAAAGATCTGATACCTTATCACAAGGTAATAGTAAATTAGAAAATTATTTCAACCTCAAGACTGACTTCGTAAAGGAGGCTTATTTATCAATTAAAGATTTTAATATAAGAAGAGCTATATGTAAATTGAGAATAAGTGCACATGATCTTAAAATTGAGAAAGATAGGTATAGTAAAAAATACATAGAGAGAAGTCAGCGTCTATGTCATCACTGCCTATCACATGGATCAAATTCTATTGAAGATGAGACCCATTTCACAGTAAGTTGTCCTTTATATAACGAACAGAGAAAATTATTATGGGATAAAGTAAACAGTTTTTGTAATAATTTTAAAGAATTACCCAAGGATAAAAAATATTTCTGGCTGTTCACAAATGAGCATTTACCAACTCTTATGTGCCTAGGCAATTATATAATTAAGTGTTTAGAAATAAGATCCAGGTGGATACAAAATATATAAAATTATTATGCAATTATTGTTAATGTTATGTAAGACACATGATGTGTTAGGCTCTGATCCTGTCCAATATATGATAGTATTATATTAGGATATAGTTTTTCTTTTTTCCAATCATATTGTGCTTAATATTGTTGTAAATGATGCCCTTTATGGGTTCTTGATTAGATTAATAAAATTCTCTATAAACATGGGACAATAAGTGTCAATTCTGTACTTAATCATAAGTTTCGATTAAGTTTTCAACATGAATTTTTTTTCAAGGGATGTTACTCTTAAAGTGAAAGTTAACTCAGTGCTTCGTAAAGCAAAACAGCAACAACAGCAAAAGGAAACCCATCTCTTTCATTCAGGTGAAAATAATTTATTCAGGACAGAAGTATGGGAATGCACCTTTACCACATTCCACTAACCATAATAATATTTCCTGATACTTATTACTACAATTATTTAAAACAAATCGATGCATGACCAGTTTCAATTCTTAAAAAGCTTACGATTTAAAAGTATACTATTAACAGTTAGTGCACAATAGGAAAAACAAGAAACATAAGTAAAAAATTCCTACCTTAAATATCATTTTAATTAAAAATATCTAAATATTTTGTATTGCATCATTTATAAACTTGAGGTCATCTGACACCATAACAGCCAATCAAATTCAAACATGCCATTGGTCAATAGGACCACTCATTTTCTAATAATTACGAAACATGGAAGATCTTAAAAGTTCTAGGTAATTTTGCAAATGCTACTGACGAAACATTTCAAAATATTTACACAATTTCTCTCATATATCTAGAAAGCATAGACTGAAAAGAATTAAATGCCTTTCAATAATATTGATTTTCACTCTATTCACAACATTTAGGCATTCTATTAGTAAATTATCGATTTACTTTTAATGTGGTGTGTTTTATTAAAAACATGTTCTAAAACATACATTCTATCATTCCAAGGAACAAAGACACACATCTGTTATCGGCCAATCAAAAACAAGGATGATGACAATCCTCCATCAAGGTCATTTGATGAAGATCAATATGACTACATGTGTTACCAGAAACATCTTATTGTTATTACATTGTTCAGATCACGTACTTTGTAAAAGTATTGATAATTTCTTATATTATCATGGAAAGTCTGCTATCAAGATTTAACTATGCATAATATTTCATAATAAAGATGTTCATACTAAGTTTAAGTTTGCTATGAATCATACTGCACAAGGAAACATAAAATGTAGTTTTCCATGTTTATGTAAATAGAGAAATATAAGACCCAAAACTTTGAGAGGAAAATTTTAATATATTGAAACTTGAAAGAGACATAAAATTTCAAATGAAGGCTTCAATAAAAATTCTTCAAATTGAACAAAATGCCAATTTAATGTTAAAACATTTTCAGGAATAATGTTATTAAAAAAAAAGAAGAAAAAAAAGCAGACTGTACATTAGTAGCTTGGTATTTCTATTCTCCTGACAAAAATCTAAAACAGTCTTACCATATAATCCTTATTGTGAGGCATATGTTTCAGCATAGCATGCAAAATAGCCTGATATTCTGGCTGTAACATCTGCTTGGCTGCGTGAACCATTTTTTCCTTGGAAATAATGTTCCCATCAGGCATTTCAATTTCAGGCTTCAAACCAATCACCCCACCATCTCCCTTTTCAGCCTCGGCTTGCATATTCATCATAGACCCTTCTTCAAAATTTTCATATTCTGCAGCCATTTTGCACAAAATCTTTTACTATCTTCTATACACGTCAAAAACTTTAAGTCTGTTTTAACAATAAAACCACACAGTTCAAAAACCTTCTAATCAATAAACTGATTAGTCACAGGAAGTTTTCTTTTATGTTTTTCTTTTTAAAATTATGAAAAAAAATTCTTCTTTAGTCAGTAGTCTTATAATGTTTACATGTGAATGAAATATTGAATAAGCCAATCAGACTATTTATACTGGTTAACTACGTCACTGACATTAGTACTCTTTATATATGTTTATGTCCTGGATTACCGTTTATAAACTTTATTATTAAGCTAGTTGTGTTGAGATTTAAAACCATGATTGGTTATTATAATTGTTAATTGTGACCTATGACATTTACAGGAAAACAGAAATAATTAAATATTTTTACAAGAAAACAATTGAGAACATGACTTAAATGACATTTTTTTTGTATTGATCTGAAATGAAAATTTAAGACTTTTTAAATCTATATATAAAAAGATCTTTTCATTTATAAAGGCTCAGAGACATGGAAATTGTCTAAAACTGCTTTACTCTTACAGAAGATTATTTGAAGCATATTCAAAAGTCTCAACTAATTCAGCATTTAACATTTTTTGTAGACTTTTTTAGATAATGGCATTCAAAAATATTCAAATGGTCCCCTAATAATAATAATGTATTTATGAAATTTGATATAGCTTTTTAAGTTTTATGCAAAAATGATTTCTGGTAACATTTATCTGCATTTAAATAGAGAAGGGCATTGTTCACCATTTAACAGGTTGGGACCAATCACCCAAATGGCATATTTAAAGTGCAAATTAAAAAAAAACAAATTAAAAATGCAATTTTATGCTACCACAACTTGATAATCTTTGTAATGGTCAAATAATTTCCAAATTGATGTTTCGTCATATAATTGCCACTGAACATTTTTGGATGTATTCAGATAATGAATAATGATGTAATTGTATCATCAAAACACAATGAGAGGACTTTTTTTATATCTTTAATTCCTTTAACACTAACTCAAGTTTCTTTCCATATTTATCATGTTTATAAAATCTTAGTTTTTCCTTCATATAATGCTGAATTTCTCAAAACTATCATAATATAGATGAAGAATTGATATATTAAGCAGATGAAAAAGCTATATATACAGTGACACTTGTGTCTTCTTACTGTAATTTTCTAAGTGTCAGACATTTAAATACAAAAAAGAAAGGTAACTGTATAATATGTAAGAAAGATGAAACTTTAATTCATTTGAAATATATAAATTTATTTTCAATTAGTTTCATCTTTCTTTTTTTTTTTAGGACATATGAACAGACAGATATGGTGATTGCATTATATGTAAGAATAAAATGCTCCGCTGGGGCGCAGCTTGATACGACCGCAGAGGTCGAACCCTGAACAGTTGGGGCAAGTATGGACACAACATTCAAGCTTGATACAGCACTGAATTTGGATTGTAATTAAATATTTGACACAGCATAGGTTTCTCACACAGAATGAAAGTAGTCTAAGAACTTAAAATTTTTTAATTTACCTATTCAAACCATATCATTATTATTTGCTTTTATATATAAATCAGAAATAACCAATTTAAAATGGAAAATTTTAAAGAAAAAAAATGAAAAAAAAATCCCCCCCCCCCCAAATTTTTTGAAACCCCCAAACTCAATCCCAGCCTTCCCTTTGTGGTATGGTACCTTGCAGTACAATTTCAGAGAGATCCATACACTTGAACACAAATTATTGTCTGGAAACTAGAAAAATGCTTGGGTTTTTTGCACCTTTTTGGCCCCAAATTCCTAAAAGTTTAGGGCAATTACCCCCAAACTCAAACCAAGCTTTCCCTTTGTGATATGGAACCTTGCAGTACAATGTCATAAAGATCCATACACTTACACACAAGTTATTGTCATGAAACTAGAAAAATGCTTGTTTTTTTGCCCCTTTATGGCCCCTAATTCCTAACATTTTGAGGCAATTACCCCCAAAAACAATCCCAGCCTTCCCTTTGTGGTATGGTACCTTGCAGTACAATTTCAGAGAGATCCATACACTTGAACACAAGTTATTGTCTGGAAACTAGAAAAATGCTTATTTTTGGCCCCTTATTCCTAAACGTTTTGGGCAAGTACCCCCAAACTCAATTCCAGCTTTCCCTTTGTGATATGGAACCTTGTAGTACAATTTCATAAATATCCATACACTTACACACAAGTTATTGTCATGAAACTAGAAAAATGCTTGTTTTTTGCCCCCTAATTCCTAAAATTTGGAGGCAATTACCCCCAAAATCAATCCCAGCATTCAAACCCTCAATCAGCATCATTTAACAGTAATATCTAAAAATGGAAATTACATAATAAAGGTATTAAAATAGAAAATGACATCATAGTCATGGCCAAAAATAAACAAAATCCTTAATCAGCAACATTTTACAGTAATATCTAAAAATAAAATTCCTTTGTAACCATAAAAGCCCATTTAAATACATCATGACAGATATTAAAATAGAAAATGACATCATAGTCATGGCTAAACATAGCAAAAACCTTAATCAGCATCATTTAACAGTAATATCTAAAAATAAAAATTTCTTTGCAACCATAAAAGTAAAATAGAAAATGACATCATAATCATAGCTAAAAATAAACAAAAAATTTTTTTATTACCAAATTTTAAATGGAGTTTATTAAACTAAAACAATAAATTTGCAACCATAAAACCCCATTTAAACACATCATAAAAGTATTAAATAATTCAACTACATCATAAGGCTATAAAAATAGAAAATGACTTCATAGTCAAGGCTAAAGGTAAACAAAAAACCTTCATCAGCAAAATTTTATATTGGCAAATTTCCAATGAAGTTTATTATACTAAAATTGTTGGCAAATTTCCAATGCATTTATTAACAATAAAGTTATTGGCAAATTTCCAATTTACATAATTTAAAAGCAGTGTAAGTGAGATATTTAAATGAGTTTGAATTACCAACCTTACACTGCTTTTAAATAATGTTTTGTACTTATTTGTCTATTAACCTGGAAACCCTTGTTTTTTCACCTTTTTTTCCCTTATTATTTAAAGGTTTGAGCCATAACCCTACCCCAAAGCCAATTCTTAAATTCCAATGTAACCTAAATTTACAATATACATAACTTCAATTTAAGTTTTTGATAAAATCAAACCACATCATTATTATTTGCTTTTATATCTAAATCAGAAATAATTAACCAACTTTAAGTGGAAAATTTTCACACATCACGCCCCCCCAAACTCAATCCCAGCCTTCAGTTTGTGGTATGGTACCTTGCAGTACAATTTCACAGAGATCCAATTACTTAAACACAATTAATTGTTGGAAACTAAAAAAAAATGCTTATTTTTAACCCCTTTTTTAGCCCCTTATTCCTAAACATTTGAGCAATTATCCCCCAAACTCAATTCCAACTTTCTCTTTGTGATCAGAATTAACCAACTTAAAATGGAAAATTTTAAAGAAAAAAAAAGGAAAAAAAATCCCCCCCCCCCAAAATTTTTTGACCCACTTCCCTTTGTGGTATGGTACCTTTAAGTACAATTTCAGAGAAATCCATACACTTGAACACAAGTTAATGTCTGGAAACTAAAAAAATGCTTATTTTTGCCCCCTTTTTTGGCCACTTATTAATAAATGTTTTGGGCAAACATTTTACAATAATATTTAAAACTGAAATTAATTTGTAACCTTAAAATTAAATAGAAAATGACATCATAGTCATAGCTAAAAATAAACAAACTATTGGTAAATTTCCAATATAAAATTGGCAAATTTCCAATGAAGTTTATTATACTAAAATAATTGGCAAATTTCCAATTTACATAATTCAAACATAGTGCAGGTGAGATATTTAAATGAGTTTGAATTACCAACCTTACACTGCTTTTAAATAATGTTCTTTACTCAATTATTTGTCTATTAAAATGGAAACCCTAGTTTTTTAACCTTTTTTCCCCTTATTCCTTAAACGAAAAAAAATAATTACCCCTTTTTTGACCCCCCCCCCCCTATGATTCATCACCCCCCTTCCCCCCCAAACCAAGCTCAATAACAGCCTTGCCTTTGTGGTATGGTACCTTGTAATACAATTTTAGAGAGATCCATACACTTGAACACAAGTTATTGTCTAGAAACTAAAAAATGCTTATTTTTCACCCCTTTTTAGGCCCCTTATTACTAAACGTTTTGGGCAATTACCACAAAACTCAATTCCAGCTTTCCCTTTGCGAAATGGAACCTTGTAGTAAAATTTCAGAAAGATCCATACACTTACACACAAGTTATTGTCATGAAACTAGAAAAATGCTTGTTTTTTGCCCCCTTTTGGCCCCTTATTCCTAAAATTTCGAGGAAATTAACCCCAAAATCAATCCCATCATCGACCCTTTGTGATATGGAATCTTGTAGTACAATGTCAAAGAGATCCATACAATAACAAACAAGTTATGTCTGGAAGTTACAAAAATGCTTATTTTCGGCCCCTTTTTGGCCCCTAATTATTTAACTGTTGGTACCATAACCCCCAAAATCAATCCCCACCTTCCTATTGTGGTATTGAACCTTATGGTAAAATTTCATAGAGATCCATTCACTTAAACTAAAGTTAGAGTGCGAAAACCATTGTGTATTCGGACGACGACGCCGGACGACGACGACGCCGGACGACGACGACGACGACGACGCCAACGTCATACCAATATACGACCACAAAATTTTTTTGCGGTCGTATAAAAACGAAACTTGAATCATCTAGTTTTATCCTTTTTGGAGTGTATCACCTATAACTTTTGTATGATATCTAATGCCATATAAAGAAAGTTCAACAGTATATCATTTAGAAGGTAATAAATTACCCTATTCAAGCTGTGAAGGACAGGGCAATGGACCAGGTAGTCATTAAATCCTGTCATAGGCTAGTTCAAAGTCAAGATTTAAAATTTGCAAATGCATTTCAAAATATACATTGAATGATAAGGTAAATTTTCTTACCACTGATAAAAATAGGTAAAATCAAAACACTTAACCAGAGTCTTAATTAAGAAAAAGACCTGCTCAACGAAAAAAGTAGGAGCACTTATTCTATCAAGAAAAACAAACTACTTCTAAGAAAAACGAAAACACTTGGTCAAGCAAAATA